AAAAAAGAAAAGGTATCTATCTCCTCCTATTTGCCTAAAAGGAGAGCATAAACTTTTAAGGGCATAAATTTTTCCTCTACCAGAAGGACAGAAGTTAACCACTGGGACAACTTCAGACTCTCATCATCCCAAAGACAGATTCTACTAAGAGCATCCCTAGATACCATTGGTTACCCTATTTGCCTTTCCACAATTTGCTGCCTCTAAAAGTTCAAAGTTCTTTTCTTTTGTCTTGCATTTCACCAAAATTACTGTTTTTTGCTAAGATGTGATATATACATCACATACAGGTTTGAGTTGCATGGTTCACTTACATGCAAATTATATATATATTTATATACCAAATTCTAACCACCTCTTTGAGTTAGGCATCAGTGAGTAAGTACTCCCCTAGGTAAGCAGGGTGCACATGCTAACAACATGCACAACAGGGTGCACATGCTTTTCTCTTGTTAATTTGTCTTTTGTCATTCTGATTTACAGGGCACAGCCAATGGACTTAAGGTGGGTAGATGGGCAACAGTTTTTCCTTCCTTACAGTTTTAATCATCTCTCTTATTAAAAGAAAAAAAAAAAAAGAATTACCTCTGTAGTAATTTTATTTAGCCAGAGCAGCTCTATGTTAGATAATGGTGTGACTGTCAGAAACATCTAGCTGTGACAGTAGCAAATGTCTCAAGCTATTACAATAAATAATTTACTATAAATGTATAAAAAGTAGCTAATTAGTTTCAGTCTCTAGTATGTAAGGAAAAAAAAAAAGACTTCTTGGACCCACCTCTAAAAATTCTGATTCAGTAAGCCTGGCAGGGCTTGGGATCCATATTTTAAAGAGCTCCTGGTAGTTCCCATCCAAAACGTCTAAGGACCACATTTAGTGGAGCAGGGCAGAGGGAACACAGCATTGTTGACTAGGAAAGTTCTTTAAACTATCCATAGCCCATACTCCCCAGATTATGAAACCCCAGTACACCCTCCCTCTTGCCCCCTCATCCCTCTTCTTCTCCTCCCGTGTGATTCTAATGCAAACTCTTGCATAAAGCCTGGTTTCTATTCCCAAAGGTTCTGATTTAATTGGTCTAAGGTAGTGCTCACTTACAAGTATTTTTAAAAATTCTCCAGGTAATTCTAGTATGCAGCTGAGGCTGAGAACCATGGTTTCAAAGGTGTATACCAGGAAGGCAGTGAGAACATAAGTTTGGATAGGTACAGTAAAATTAAAGTAAAGACAAGGGTGTAGATTTGACCTAACAGGTAATAGAGAATCCTCACTGGTTCTTTTACCAAAAAGTAATACTATGAGAGTCATGTTTTGACAAGGTTAATTTACCAGTGATGCACAGCAGTGTATGGAGGGTGACCGGATATAAGGAACTTGGGGCAGTGGGAAGAGTTGAGGTTCTAGGTAATCAGCCTAAATCCTAAAATGTTATCCCTAGATAACTATGGGAGTAGAGATATTGAGAACATATGACTTCCCAAGAAAATGTGTTCCACAATAATTGGAAGCTAAACTCACTCTACAATTACATTTTGTCAATCGCATGGGATCGCAAATCTTATTTCTGAATCTTGGACATGGTTTAAAAATAAACTTGTGCTGTGCCAAAGGATAGTAAAAGTCTTAAATAATAGTGGGAGACAAAAAATGTTTTACACTCTTCTTTTATTACTGCTTAGCACAAAATACATCCATGTCAGACACTCAGTAAGGAAGTAAGATACCTGTGAAAAATCATTGCCATTATTACCCATAAAATGTTACAGAGAGCAGAAACTGTTCCTATTTTAGAAGAATGCTGTTCCTTTCACTTGGACTGTTCTGTGTCATTGTTGTCTTTGAAAAGCCTACTCATCTCTGTGTGAAGTCTCCAAGATTGAGCTTTCTCAGAAGCCTCCATGCAAAAGCTATTCTAATCCTTTCTTAAACTTTGCTACTCTGGATCCCTGTCAATGCATTTACCAGACCATTGGAACAGTCCATGTCCAGAGGGTGAAGGGAGTAAAATAAGCTACTGGTCCCTCCTCAGGTATAGAACTAACCTGTGGAGTTGGTTTCTCCATTTAATCTGCCGTATTCAGTTATCAAGCAAATATGCCCAGTTTGTAACATCATAATCTATGTCTCTGTAGCGCAAGGGAACAGCACATCGTGAACTGACCAGTTTACCTGTGGAAAAGGCCATGCCCAAGCATGTGTTGAAGCCAGTGATAGCCAGAATATCATCGAAGCTGCCAGCAGCCATAAGTAAGGTTGGGACGCCTTTTTCAACTCCATAGCCTCCTTCCTGCAAAAGGAGCATTGAAGGCACTACGACAGCTGGAGATACAGCACCTAAAACAAAACTAAGTAGGCAGCGCTTTAAACATTTGTGATAGCAGCTTACTCATTATTATTATTATTGTTGAAATTATAATAACATCTACTCTTTTAGAGGTTACACTTTAGACAACTACTGTCTTTCAAATAGCAGTGAAGCACCAAACTGGAAACACACACACACACACACACACACACACACATACACACACACAAGTTCTACAGAACACTTTTTGAAAGTGTGGCTACAGACAGCCTATATTGGAACCACTTAGGTTGCCCTGAAATATATAGTTATGGGTGGCACAGAAGACCTAATGGGATTAGGTTGCAGGAATTTGCCTTAAAAAATAAATAAATAAATAAATAAATAAATAAATAAATAAATAATAAATAAATAAATAAATAAAGCAAGCAAGCAAGCCAGCCAGGGCAACTGCATGGCTCAGTTGGTTGAGTATCTGACTTTGGCTGAGGTCATGATCTCATGGTTCGTGGGTTCGAGCCCCATATCAGGTTTGCTGCTATCAGCACAGAGCCCACTTTGGATCCTCTGTCCCCTCCCCCGTTTGCTCTCTCTCAAAAATAAACAAAACATTAAAAAAAATGAAGACGAAACATTTATGGTATGAGGTTTGAAAAACACAGCTGCAGGTTTTTTAAATTGGAACTGACTGATATTAGGCCTTCTGTTGGGACTTGGTAGGTAGAATAAGACCACAGATTAGAAGAAGCCCATAATGGCAGTGACAGTGATACTAACACTAGCAGCAGCAGTAACAGCAGAAAACATTTTACAGTGTTTACTATGTGCCAAACACCATTTTAAGTGCTCTACATAAATTAACTAATTTAATCCTCACAACAACTCTAAAAGGTAGCTACAATAATTGTCTTCATTCTGCAAATGAGGAGACTTCATTCTTGCAAACGAGATGCAGAGAGATTAAATAACTTGCCAAAGTTCACATATTGGAGTCACAGAGCTGGGATTTAAATCCAGGCACTATAGCTCTACCGTCTTAACCAGAAGTAAGGATTTCTTGCTTCTTGCCTACTAATTAGTACTAAATTCTTACTAAGTACTTTCATAATTATTTACTTCTTTTTTTGATATTTATTTATTTTTGAGAGACAGAGAGAGAGCATGAGTGAGTGAGGAAGGGGCAGAGAGAGAGGGAGACACAGAATCTGAAGCAGGCTCCAGGCTCTGAGCTGTCAGCAGAGAGCCCAACATGGGGCTCGAACCCACGAACTGTGAGATCTTGACCTGAGCCGAAGTCAGACACTTAACCGATGAGCCGCCCAGGCTCCCCTTTATTTATTTACTTCTTATGGCTGTTAACCATTAGAAGAACTGGCAGTGGAAGGAAGAGACAGCAGAACCACCCAATCATAACTGTCTGGTGACAAAAGAAGGAGAAAAGAGTGTTAGGTGTTCATTACTGTTGATATGTTTATTACCCTTTGTATGGACTTTGAGGTGAGATATGGCATCTCTCTCACCAGCATGGAATAAGGTGTAGGTAAAACACCATTAATTCTTCAACTGTTTAAATCATAATGCCTGTAAAAGTTAGATGTATTCTATAAATAGTATATTTTGAAGTTATAATATTTAGATTACGCTGGAATATCCATGTTGTATTTTCTGATGTCCTTAAGAAAATGCTATTATGCATTCTCTGGTATGGAATCAGAGAAAGCCCCAAACATCCCTGCACTGTTTTCATACGAAAAAGAAAAACCATTACCCCAGGATAAATCCCCATTGCCATGGTAAGCCCATTAGAAAGTGGGCCAGAAGTGCAGATGTGCATGCCTCCACAAGACAAGGACCCATGGACAGTCTTATACAAACACCCTTCAACTTCTTCAGGGCCTGAAATATGCAAACAGAAATACAAAAATAATCATTTAAAGACAGAAAGAGATTATGACATCAGACACTTTTCTTCAGTATTCAGACCATGTTTGGATTATCATGAATTTGCTAGGTAATGAGTTTTATTTAACAAACATTTCAGTGTTTGAAGTGTTTTGGAGATAGCTTATTTAGTCCTCATAGCAACACTATGATATAGGTGAAATTACTATCCCCATTATATTTAGATGTCCTCATCTAAAAAGATACAAGTTAAAGTCATTTGTCCAAGATCATGAAATTGGTAAATTGTGCAGCTAGGTTTGAACTCAAGCAGGATGTTCTGTAGTCTGTGCTCATTAATCCCCAAAGTAGCTGATTTAACCCTCTCGGTGTTAGCTTTATTTATAACTTGTGGCCCCAGAATGAGGCCAGGGTGAAAACCTTCACCCCCAAGAACACTCATTCTCTCATTCAAAAATATACGTTAGTAAAAGCATTAAAAAAGGCATACTTGAGACTCGTCCTATGTATCAAGCAGTTTCTTGAGCTGTATAGTTAGCCTAAGCACTTGCATAAGGCTTTGCATGCCATAAATGTGCTATCCTCTCTCTAGCCTGTTATTTATAAGGATGACCTATATCTCTGTCAGAGAAAAGGGGAGCCTTTATTGTTAGTGCTGTCCCCAGACAGTAATTCCACCTTCCTCCAAGAACGAATATAGGGTCATCTTCTGGGAATAGTCAGTCCTCCATGAAATAAACTCCATTCTTTTCTTTAAAAAATTTTTTTTAACATTTATTCATTTTTGAGACACAGAGAGAGAGCGCAAGCGGGGGTGGTGTACAGAGAGGGAGACACAGAATCCGAACCAGGATCCAGGCTCTGAGCTGTCAGCACAGAGCCTGATGTGGGGCTCAAACTCACGAACTGTGAGATCATGACCTGAGCAGACACTTAACCAACTGAGCCACCCAGGCCCCCCTCCATTCTCTTCTTTAGACTGTCACAGTGCCTAAAGCGCGGTGATTCTGAATAGTAGCAGTACTGGAAGAGTTCAATTCCTAGTCAACAATTAGAAATTTATACTTCATACCTTTGAATCAAGCCCAAGGCCAGCACGAACCAATATGATAGACAGGGCTATGCTTCTCAAAGAGGAAGACCACTTATGCTTGATCTGTACATTATCACTGATGACAGGGATATTTCTGACAAGAAACCCAGCAAGAAGCATGCCTAGAATGGAGAAGTCAAACAACTCCTTAGTTGGTTTTCAAATAGAGAAGATATTTTTGGCATTTTTACTTTTTGAGTTCATGTCTCTTTAATATTCTTTTGTTTAACATTTTTGTTTAAATGGATGAAAGACCTAAATGTGAGATAGGAAACCATCAAAATCCTACAGGAGAACACAGATAGCAACCCCTTTGACTTTGGCTGTAGCAACTTCTTACTAGACACATTGCTGGAGGCAAAGGAAACAAAAGCACAAAAGAACTAATGGGACTTCATTAAGATAAAAAGCTTCTGCACAGCAACGGAAACAATCAACAAAGCAAAAAGGCAGCCTATGGAATGGGGAAGATACTTGCAAGTGACATATCGGATAAAGGGTTAGTATTCAAAATCTATAAAGAACTCACCAAACTCAACACCCAAAAAACAATCCAGTGAAAAAATGAGAAGACATGAATCGATACTTTTCCATCATGCAGATGGCTAACAGATGCATGAAAAGATGCTCAATCTCACTCATCATCAGGGAAATACAAACCAAACCATGATGGGATACCGCCTCACACCTGTCAGAATGGTTAAAACTAACATAAGAAACAACAGATGTTGGTGAGGCTGTGGAGAAAGGAACTGTCTTATGCTGTTGGTGGGAATGCAAATTAGTGTGGCCACTCTGGGAAACACTTATGGAGGCTCCTCAAAAAGTTAAAAATAGAACTACCCTATGATGTAGCAATTGCACTGCTAGGTATTTACCCAAAGGATACAAAAATATAGATTCAAAGGGTACATGCCCTCTGATGTTTATAGCAGCATTATCAATAATAGCAAACTACAGAAAGAGCCCAAGTGTCCACTGACTGATTAATAAATAAAGAAGATATGGTATATATATATATATATACACACACACACACACACACACACACAATGGAATATTAGCCATCAAAAAGAATGAAGTCTTGCTATTTGCAACAATGTGGATGGATATTATATATCCATATCCATAATATTAGTATATTATATATCCATATCCATAATATTAGTATATTATGCTAAGTGTAATAAGTCAGAGAAAAACAAATATCATATGATTTCACTCACATGTGGAATTTAGGAAACAAAACAGATGAACATATGTGAAGGGAAAAAAAGGGAAGCAAACCATAATATACTTTTTTTTTCTTTGAATTTTATTTTTTTCTTTTTCTTTTTTTATTATTTTAAAATATTTATTTATTTATTTATTTATTTATTTATTTATTTATTTATTTATATCCTAGTTAGCATATAGTGCAATAATGATTTCAGGAGTAGATTCCAGTGATTCATCACCTATGTACAGCACCCAGTGCTCATCCCAACAAGTGTCTTCCTTAATGCCCCTTACTCATTTAGCCTATCTACCTGCTCATAATCCATAAGATACTCTAAATGATAGAGAACAAATTGAGAGTTGATGGAGGGAGGTGGGTGGGGAGATGGGCTAGATGGGTGATGGGTATTAAGGAGGGCACTTGTTATGATGGGCACTGGGTGTTATATGCAAGATGAATCACTAAATTCTATTCCTGAAACCAATATTACATTATATGTTAACTAACTAGAATTTAAATAAAATTTTCAATAAAAAATTAAAATAATATACTATATTAGAGGAGCTAAGAAAAGCCTTTAATATGCAAATAAAAATCATTAGAATCAGTAATGGAGTATTCAGATAGAAATGTGATCAAATTATAAATATAAAATGTTTTAATACAATGCCTAATTCAGTCACTCTTTTATGTGCAAAGTAAACAGCTCCTGAAGTTATTTGCTATGTCAGTTTACCTGAATTATCAACAAATACTTATGTGGATTCAATTTCACCCTCAAGCCAGGTACTTTAACAAAAAATACATAACTTGCGAGGTGCCTGGGTGGTTCAACCCATTGAGCATTCTGACTTTGGTTCAGGTCATGATCTCATGATTCGTGAGTCTGAGCATCGCTTCTGGTTCTGTGCTGACAGCACGGAGCCTGGAGACTGCTTCAGATTCTGGGTCTCCCTCTCTCTCTGCCCCTCCCCTACCTGTGCTCTCTCTCTCAAAAAATAAACATTAAAAAAAAAAAATAAAAAAAATAAACATAAAAAAACATGAAAAAAATAAACATGAAAAAAACATTAAAAAAAATCCTTGCTTTCCAAAGGCTTGTGAGTTATGAAGAAATGGACATTGCTCTGTCAGGTCAGCTTCTGATTCTTCTTTCATTCAGCCATTTACTGTTTACCAAATGCCTTCAGTATTTTAGACAGTACAGTAGGTAGTAGAAGTATAATAATGAACAAAAACTTGGTACTACATCTCAACAAGTTTTCAGCCTCTAGGGGAGTGAGATAAACTGACAACCTCAATTTTATGGAAGCATAAGGGAGTGTTGTATGAGTGAGAGAAGAGTAGTAAGTCAGAGGGATCGAAACAAGGGGAAGAACCGGGTGGAGAGTCAAGAAGTTTCTGGATGGGTTAGTAGTGTCTTCCAAGGTATGAAGAAAAGTATGACACATTCTGGGAAGTGTCAGTAGTTGACAGTGACCGAGGGAGCTGAGGAGTTTGCGAGAGAATCCTGCCCTCGCTGATACCACATGTCCCTACAACAGGAAAGAGAGACTTCTCCACCAGACACTGGGCTTCCAGACTGTTCTTCTCTAGCAGTACCTTCTTCTCAGCATGACCTTACAAGCATTACACATTAAATGACTAAACAAACTTACTATTGTTGCAATGTTCTGTATGTAAGCTATGAGAATGGAGACTAATGACAAGCATAGCTTTTGTGACTTGCTCCAGACACCGCTAGGCCAGGAAGCATCACTGCCATTTAATCTAGAAGAAGGTCTCGTAAAGTTTTGAATTCTGCAGTTACGGTCTTTCCAGAATTTTTGAAAGTGGGAACTAGCCAACCACAGTTGTTTTTTTAAAGAGTAATAAGGATAACACATGCTCATGGTGAATTAAAACATCACCAACAAGTAGGAAGTGGCAAGTACATGTTCTATTCCAACTGCAAACTTTCGATCTTCATTCTCCAAAGATTTTCACTCTTAAGGGTTTTCTTTGCCTTTCCAGAAAAGTTTGTATACCTATGTAAGCATGCCTCAGTATGTGTGTTCGTGTGCCTCATTTTCTAATAGTAGAAATAGTATCTCATTGTTTGGAAGTACTGTAATTTTTTGAACCAATTAATGGACTTTAAGGAACTTTTCAGATTTTTCATTACAAATAGTGCTGAAATGAGCAGAGTTCAAAAGAAATAATAATCTAACAAGGACTCAAAAATATGTTAAGAGTTTCTTTTGGAGTTTTGGGGGGGCGCGCAAGAGGAAGCATTTTTTTGTTCTCCAAATGAATGTGACAACAACTTCGCTGGGACACTGTTTCTGGATGGTCTGGATTGATATGGCCACCTGATACTGATCTGGCAGACGACCCCTTCACTCCTTTGTCAATGATGTGAGTGACTAACAATACATTGAGCCCTAGTTTTGTAGCATTTCTGTCTTACAGTTACTTCTACCATGGTTGATGTTAAGCTACCAACATGATGTCAATGAATGTGCAGTTGGGAAGAGAGAGCCAGTGGCACACCACTATATATTGTTTCCATAATTTCAAGAGCCTAGATAAGGAGAAAATGCCGTAAGTGATTAGTTTTGAGTATCTATTGGTTTTATTTTTAATGCAAGTTATTTAATTGTAAATATATATAATTTAATTTTAAAAAATTTCTGTGTTTAACAACTGGCTTACCAAACTCAAAATTTAATAATTGGCTTTTGGCTCCAACACATCAAATACAGAAATATTTTATATTTATTTCCCAAAGCTTCCCAAACTACAGTTTTTAAAATATGATTTACTCTTGAAGTCAGAAAGTATTTAGCACTTACCTAGAAGAGGAGGCAGTGGAGGTAATGTAGGTAACTTAATGAGCCCCAAAAGTTTACCTCCAATGATGGCACAATAGAATAGGATTATAATTCCAAATAGGTTTCCTCCAGGAAGACATTCGCTGGTAGTAATTGACCAAACTACAGCCCAGAGAAGAACAACCATCGTAACTGAAATAAACCAGGAAAACTAGTTTCTATCAGTAAGTTGTCATATGGTTTCAATATAATATAAAAATTTTAAAAATATCGAGCATACATACAAGTATTTATAACCATGTGTAAATTTTAGAAAGCATCAGTAATATGAACAATTGGGTAATAATTACCAACCATCTTAAGAAATAGGATATTACTAGTGCCTTTGGATCCACCCATGTGCCCCTCTTAATCCCATCTCCCATCTCCTTTCACACCATCAGAAGGAACTATGATCTTGAATTTTTATCATTCCTCCTTTTTCCTTTATAATTTTACCACAAATATTCACTCATTAATAAAAAGGGAAACACTGGCTATCTTTACTCTCTTCATAGGAACATGAGAATACCTGAATAATCACATTCTAGTATTTTAGTTCTGTCTTGAATTAAACACTATTATACTCACCTATTTTCCGTTTTGATCATTATTCATTATGGCAACTCAAATTTTTTATCTGGGACAATTATTTTGTTGCCTAAAGTATTTCCTTTAATAGAGGTATTTCTATTAGAAGGTGAAACATGTTTCCTTGTTTGAAAACCTTGTGTTGTACTAAAGTTTACACTGAAACAACAAAGACTCATGGGAAAACAGTTGGGCAGACAACTCAAAGCTTAAATCCTGTGACCAAAGTATTGACAAAAACAGTAATGATCCTAATAAAAGTGCTAGTGCAGTTAAATCTCCACTGGCATTTGCATTTCACAGTCTCTTTTTGGCAGACCCAAACCCTTGGAACCACACGTATTATTTCGAGATGTAGAACCTTGAAAGCATTTGCTTTAAATAGTAAGCAGTTCTGTCCAAATCTGATCCAGATTATAGCTTTCTCCATCAATCAAATATTTGTTGTTGTTGTTTTAACTGAGGGAAAGTGTTGGCAGCTATTTTGTTTGTAATATCAGCTTCTACATCCATATATGGTTTCATTAGATAGTTTAATGGTCTAGAAAGTTTAAAAAGCCTCTGAAACCCCTAAACCAGCAACTAACTGTCTGAAAAAAAAAAAAAAAAGTACTTCTATAGGGAGTTCAGCTTTTTAAAAAGTCTTCATTTTAGTAAGGCTTTATCTTTAATTGTAAGGAATCATATATCTGACCTTTTTTGTCTGTTCTTGTTTTTCAATGCGTTTTGCATTCACATGCCATTGTTTGGTGATGTAAAATATTAACATGGCAGGAGAAATTATGTACAAATGCAAATTTTCATGTTACACTAACACAATTCCTCATTTACCATCATATATGAACTAATTCATAGTTCAGAAACAGTGCACCAGAGCATGCTATATTTCTCATGAAGATCTGTTGGTAACAAATTCTTAGTTTTATTGATCTGGAATTATCTTTATTCTCATTCTTAAAAGATAGTTTTTCAGGGTATACAGTTCTAGGTTGAGAGTTACTATCTTCCAGTTCCTTTAAAATACTGTCCCTTGGTTTTCTGGCTTTTATTGCTGTTTTTAAGTGTCTTTTAGGAATTGTTTTTTTCCTTTGGCTATTAAAAAAAATTTTTTTTAATGTTTATTTATTTTTGAGACAGAGAGAGAGAGAGAGAGAGAGAGAGAGAACTAGTGGGGGAGGGGCAGAGAGAGAGGGAAATCTGAAGAGGGGAATCTGAAGCAGGCTCCAGGCTTTCAGCTGTCAGCACAGAGTCCGACATGGGGCTCGAACTCACAGACCGTGAGATCATGACCTGAGCCCAAGTCGGACGCTTAGCCGACTGAGCCACCCAGATGCCCCTCCTTTGGCTATTTTTTTTTTTTTTAATTTTTTTTTTCAACGTTTATTTATTTTTGGGACAGAGAGAGACAGAGCATGAATGGGGGAGGGGGCAGAGAGAGAGGGAGACACAGAATCGGAAACAGGCTCCAGGCTCTGAGCCATCAGCCCAGCGCCTGACGCGGGGCTCGAACTCACGGACCGCGAGATCGTGACCTGGCTGAAGTCGGACGCTTAACCGACTGCGCCACCCAGGCGCCCCTCCTTTGGCTATTTTTAAGATCTTTCTTTTTCTTTGGTTTTCTGCAATTTCAGTGTGATCTGTTCAGTACTTATGTTAATTTCCATATGGCTTCCTTTTAGTTTGCTTAGGATTTATGTTTTCCATCCATTCTGGAACATTCTGTCTTTATTTGTTTAAATATTTCCTCTTCCCTATTCTTTTCCCTGTATTTTTCTGGAACTATGATTAAAACATTGAACAGTCACAGTCTCTTCTCCATTTGGGTAAGCTCAGTTTTCATATCGTCCATTTTTTTTTTTTTTCTGTGTGTACTGCATTGTAATCTCTTCAGACCTATTTACTAGATTACCAATTTTCTTTTCACTTAATCTGCTGCCTAATCTACTGAGTTTGAAATTTCAATTACTTTATTATATCTTTCATTTCTAGAAGTTGGTGCTTATTGAAATGTGTTCAATTTTGTAAATAGTTTCTTGTTTTATACTTATATTTGTTACCTCCTCTTTAATTTCTTCATAGTTATTGAAAATATTTTATATTTTATTTTCTGATAATGCAAATTTTTGAAACGTGTTTCCTTGTGCATGTTGTGACTTTTGTTTTTGTTTTGTTGCTTTTGTTTTTGGCAACAGTGAGCTCTTCCCTGAAACTTAATCTTTGGGAATTGCTGAAGTTGAATGTCAGTTTTCCCAGATAGGATATGAATTTGCCCCTACCATGTGCTTACAATCTTCACAATCCGGGACTACTTTTAGATATATTTTCAGCTTGACGTTTTTTTCTGTGACTTTGGAACACAGATCAGCATGAAGTTACACATATTTAGCGGAGACTCTTTTCTTGCCCAGACAGCACTACAGTTCAGACAGTCAAGTTTAGCTGCGGGTCCCCTCTGCAGGGCAGGTTTACCTCAAATTCATCATTACATTGGGTTCCAGCTTTGTGTGGGTGAGAAGGAATGATTTCTCCTTTTTCTCCCAACCTGGGCAGGCCCACGCATAGCCTCTTATACTCTCATGGTTCTCAAAATGAATCTCAAGTTCACTGGTGTTTTGCAGAAGCCCCAGAGCGAAAGCCAGCTTGAGTGCTTATTTATCTCTCCTAGTCATACTGTTTTTAGTGTCTGATGATTTCCTGTTTTCTTGACAGATAAAAGGTATATTTAAAGAGACTTAAAATACTGTTTTCAGATGTTTTCATTGACATAAGTGAGAGGGCTGTTCATTGAATGTCATCCACCCCATTGCTAGAGATCAAATCCAATGTCTCATTTTTTAACCCTCACAGAATTATTACACATTTTGTAGGCTGTGATGCTATGAAATAACTAAAGCGCCTTCTATATCTTCCAGTTGGGTAGAGAAGCTGAAATTTCTATATAGTATGGGAAGTGTAATGGGATAGTAGGAATTGTAAACTACTAAATTTTACTTTATCATAGCACAAAATCAGTTTTGTACAAAATTCAGAAAGGTAGAATTAAGTTTTCCACTTCAAGACCACTTTTCTTTTAAACCTCTAACATTCCTTTCCTTTTTCATATTCAAAATGCAGTTCTAAATAAATAGTAAGTGTATATTTACAGGGTTTCTCTAAATCACATTTAATTCAGTTAGTAATTTACTTCTCATTTGGAAAATCAGATTTACTTAAGAAAAATATGTAAATATACTGAAGTGATACAGGAAGGAGTATAGGAAAAAAAAAAAAAA